TCACCATAACCTCCTGCAAAAGAAGCAGACGAGCTTGCGCTCTGCATAGGGCGAATAAAGACTGTTGGCAGACATGTTCTTGGATTATCTGCGTGAGGCCTCTCCGCGGGTAATTCTGCCATCATGGCTGCAGTGTGCCTCTCCGCGGGTAATTCTGCCATCATGGCACATGCCGTGTCTTTTTTGCATGATGTACGAGCAGAGTGACTGCGGAGGAGGGTACGAGGATCCTACGCCAGGGGTTCTCTCCCCTCTACTCGAACATGCTTCACATAGCCAACTGAGAGAAGCAACTCATCCGATCGGGATCTGGCTTCTCTCTGTCCCAGCCTGGGGTATGGAGATGGCGTCAAATTTCGTACTGTCGGCACTAACTTAGACTTACGATGTTGTTCTGACGGCGCCATCACTGTGTGACGTGCAAAAAAGAAAAAAAAAACTTTTTGACATGTGAATTTACGGAAGGCTATAGGGGAGAATTTGCGGGCCCCCACGAGACAAAACTTGGCAGTCTTCGACTCGTGGTGGGAGTGGTGTATAAATTAATCATTTTCCACTAATGTATATGCAAACGTCTTCCCTACCCTTGCTTCCCGCGGTCACGATTTTCGATGGGCACCATCCCGCACGATCGACATTAGTAGTTTAAGAACAACGTACGCAATTTTAGCGCACGCTAGCGCTAAACTTAGCGCTCGCGCTAGATTACGCTACGCAAGAGACTTTTAGAATAGCGCATCTCCGCCGTTACGCAAAACCCCGAGCATCTCGCGCTTGCGACGACATGAAGATACAGTAACAATTTTTATTTCAGGCGCGAAATGCTGTAACTTGAGAAAAAAAATTCCACGCGAACGGTCGACCAGACGTGTCCGCTTGCGTCACCTCGGCAAGAGAGGTCTCGTGTACGTATACGTGTACTGACCTTTGCAAACCGTATACCGACCGTGCCTTCGCCGAGAAATGTTCGCGCGTCACAAGCAGCAAGTTTCCAGCGATCGTTGCCCACGTTGCTGGCTCTTCAAAACCGTTTACGAAGTGCATCTCCCGTAGGAGTGCAATGTCGTCCTGTATTGAAAATCGCAGTCGCGAGGATGCCGCCGACGTTGCGCTGACGACGACCGCCCAAGCGGCGGCAGCCGCCGCAGCCCGCAGCCACGGACCGGGGAGCCGCCAGTTTCTAACTGTGCTTGTCTTGGCTCTAGCCAACGTATTCCGCGTCACGGATCCTCCTTGGAGGTGCGCAAAGACTCCTTGAATACGCGCACAATTTCCGAAAAATAGTGTACGCTAAAATAGCGCTCACAAAGTGCCAAACACGGTTAGCATTCAGCGCACGCGCAGTGCGACGACGCTATTCTTTGCGTACTCTAACCTTTAGCGTGCGCTATTCTAGAACTGCTTATTGTTAGAAACTGTGTTTGCGTGTTTCGTCTTCTTTGTCGATTCTTTCTTGTGCACCGGCAATGTTGGATATAAAAACAATGAAAAATAAAAGCCGTTTATAATTCCCTGTAACGCCGGTTAGAGCGCAGCTCTTGAGGAGGAGGATGGAAGCGTACTGAGGGATAGATGACTCCTTGAGGTCACGTGACATCGGGGGAGGGGGTCACGTGACCTCAGGGGGTCACGTGACCTGAGGGGGTCATCTGACCTGAGGGGGTCACGTGACTTCAGGGGGCACGTGACCTCAAGGGGTCACGTGACCCCCCTGACGTCACACGACCCTCCTTGAGGTGGGTGGTCACGTGACCTCGGGGGGGAGGATCACGTGACCTTGAGGGGTTACGTGATCTCGCGGTTACGCCGACGCCGACGCCGCTCAAGCCGGAAACGGGCCCCTAAGAGCTGCGCTCTAGAACGATACGACACCATGCCATTGTTTTCTGAAGAGCGGAGGCAGGCTGATTCGCCCTTTATTTGTAGTTCGCAGACAGCCCCACAGACGGCACTCATTATACTCTAAAAGTTTCATACTGAGCTCTGTGGGGATCGCGGCCACGAGGGGGCCGGAGTTGGGCCCACGGGGGCAAAAGAAAGTATATGTCGAGGATGGCATGGAGCAGAGCAGGCCATGGCACGGCTAAAGATGAAGGCGCTGCCTCCAGGTCGTTTAACTGTGAGACAGTAAATCCTTTGTGCCTTGCCTTATGTCATCTCCTTCGAGGCGGTCGAGGCGGGGCCTGATAGGGCGATGGCTAATGTAGACACCCACATTATTTGGCGCCCAACGTGGAGGACCAGTTTAACGTAGGTCGCTAAAGCTGTCACCGCCCGATCTGGCCGTGCTCCGTTCGTTCCTGAGAAATCAGACGATCAACCTGAAGGTAGTAAACGTTTTACTGTTCCTGTGGGCAAGGGCTGCAGGCAGTCGCCGGTCCCCGCTCGCCGTTGGCTTGGTCGTCGCGGTGGGGCTTGGAAGCGTCGCCCGTGCACGGCTGGTCATGGACTCGTCCCTCACGCGGTTTCAGCTCACCCCACCACGCGCGCCCAGTCCCGTGCGACGCTCAGCTGCCCGTTTCCCGCCTAACCCACAGTCTTCTTCAGCTTCCCCACAACCCTTACACGTGTTGTGCATCAAACTGTTGAAGGTGAGGCTCAACGGTGTTGGGTAGGAATGTTTCTCATGTTACACAAGCTTGCTGACACTGGTGGGACCCATGTATACTCTTACGACACGCCACTGACCAAGAAACATCTTGGTCGACGCCGTGTGTACGTGCAGCATAAGCAGAACATTGCCTCAGAATCTCGGTTCTGTGACAACAACCCGGGCAGTCGCCTGCTGCTGGAAGCTCTCCGAACGCTGTCTTAACAACATGCAATTTGACGACACTGTGACAGTGTGTGTGTGGGCAAGGCGTGCGGAGTCCAGGACAAAACGGTGGCACTCATCATCCTCGGGACCTATCAGATAACCCAGCCACAGGACAACGGCCCGCACCATCAAAGGCCCCTGTGGTCGTTGATGCGTCGGGCTTTATAATGCTAAAAGGCCGAGAACAACAGGCACACGGCACTGCTACAAAGTCGATGGTGAGCTCTGGTGGCCGGTACAGGACTGCTGTATAGGACTACCAGAATAAGACTAGAGGGCTGATGAAGGCTCACATGGTCCCAGGCTTGTGTACAAAAGCATTTCGAGCTCCGCCCGTTCCAAAGGAAAAGAGCCGCAACATCATCATCGCCATCATTATCACCAAAGCCCGCGTGCTAATGGAGTCTGGTGTATATCCCTTACAAAAAATATCAGGGGGTTTCAGTTAAGTTTCTTATGTACTTTATAAGAATGCATTAAAAACTCAATTGCAACTCATTTAGATTGTTTTATAAGGGATGATCATATGCTTTCGTGATGCGGACATTTTCAGTTTGTCCGTGTCATGACGCCTCACCCGACACGCCTCGCTTGCAGCAGGGAAGAAAAAAAAAAAGAGTTCTAATATCCTCACTGCTTCGTTCCAACAAATTTTCACAAAGTGGTGGTCGAGCCTGTGGACGCCAATCTCACCTTCCGTTTTCATGCGTGGTTGAACCTGGGGAGATGAAACGACCCGCCGACTCCGAATGCCAGGCTTTCCCCGAACAAGCCGCATGACTTCAGGGAGTTTTAGTAGGTCGTTCCAGTAACTCCAATAACGTTAGCCAATACCCCCCTCTCCCCTCCTCCTCTCACCACCACCACCACCCCTCACGCGTTTCCGCTTGACCTATGTTGTTTTTGGCTATTGTTATCACAGTTGTCTGAACGATTTGCTGAAACTCTTTGTTATCGTTACACTTTCAATCTAACGTGCTCTTGGCCCCTCCATTTCAGCCGCATGAACCAGCCGAAGGTGCGTTCAAAACAACGGTGCCAGTGGACAAACGATTTTTTTTCCTTTTAGAAGAGTTCTTCACCTGGCTACTGATCACCGCACGTAGTACATTGGCGGCAGTTAACAGAAAGAAAAATATTCTTGCACCGTTCACGCCTGTGTGTGCGTGCGTGTGTGTATGTGGGAGGGGGGGGGGGGGGCAGGGTGCAGAAATGCATCTACTCTTTGATGTCTTTTCACAATTAGAGTTACCCTATTAGGGAGTTTTCGTACATCGTTCTTGTCGTCAACCAACCTCTCAGAAACCCGCTACGAGACCCAGAACTCTACAACCTAGAGGCTAGCGCTGCGCACGGCGTCTCCATTGCGGAGAGTGTAACGGAATAAGAAAAACGACCTACGAAAACCTACTATTATAACCGGTGCTAGGCTTTTCCAAAAGCGTTATGTCTGTGTTCCTCCTATACAGTTCCACACACCCGCCGCTAGACGCCATCTTTGTGTGGGAAAAGGTCAAGCACCACCCTGCAGCGAAGGCAGTTTCTTTCAAATTACAGGGTGTCACCCCAAAAAATGCACAGGGCTTTTTTCGTCACATACATAAACTACGCATGGCGGAACGCTCATTCTCCGTCCGCATAGAGCACAAGCGGTACGAACCAGACGCCAAATTTTCAAAACTAACCAATATCTTATATAAAAGTTAAAAGTTATTTTCTGAAATTTTCATTGGGAAATTTCAGAAAATGGAAATGAAAAAGGAAATGGGAAAAAAGGGCAGCCGACGGAGCTCTCGAAAACATGAAGCTGTTACGGAAAAATCACAAAAACGGGCCTCCTTTTCCGATTGAATATTTCAGAAAATCACTTAAAACTTTTTAATGCGATAACGGCTAGTTATTAAGTTTTGGCGTCTAGCTCAGGCGGCTAGTGCTAGATCTGAGCGGAAAATTAGCATTCGGCGATGCGTAGCTTATTTTCCCGGCAAAAAGAAACAAAAAAAGTATTGTATTTCGTTTCGCACACTATTGACTGATTTACCATCTTGTGTAAAGATTCCGCAGCAGAATTTGTCTCCACACGCCCCACCATACTAACAAAGTGCAAGATCTGTTTTAACGTTTTTTTATGTTTTTTTTTTTTTTTCTTCTAATGGAACCGAGTAATGAAGAACACGGGATGTCCGCTTTGTAAATCTGTATTAGAGGAAGTCTGTCGTCAGAAAATAATACAATATCGTCATTTCTCGATCTCTGGGGCCAGGTGTGCCTCGAGAGCAGAAGCAGCAGTAATGAGAGCAGTTAATCATTCAAACAGTACAGTAAGAGAGGGGCAGCCGGGGTGAACACACTCAATGAAAACGAAGAACGAAGGCACACCGCACTGGGTAGAAGAAGTACTGTTGTCAAATGCTAACGAGCTAATAAAAATCGTATCAAAATTAAAAAAAATAACAATAAAACAATAAAGAAACAGAGACTCTCATTGTTTTTGTGCATGTATTTCTCTTCTCTTTTTTTTTCTCCCAAAAAATTCGAGATTCCAAAAAATCCGGCTCCCACGTTCATATTTTATTATTACTTCGTCAGGTAAAAAAAAAAGGAAAAAAAAAACACGCTTTGCTGACAAAAAAAATAACGAACAAAACAAAACAACAAGGGTCCACGTAATGATAGTAATGAATGACAACTGAAACTGGGTTTACGAGCTTTGTCGCACTAAACACTCTATCGGAAGCAAAACGTAAAGTGAACGGAACGATCCAGAAAAAACAAAAACAAAAAGGGTAAAGGGAAACAGAGACGGGTCACACACAGCACAGGTATAGTACACATTGACGCTTCTGCCGTCTCTTTCGGTTTGACACGAAATAATAACATTAAGAATAATTATTATTACAAGAATAAGAATAGTGACAGCAGTAACAAGAGAGGAAAAGAAAAAAGAAAAAAACAGCCACGCACACGCCTGCCACGTGACCCTCGCTGACCAATAGGCGTCTTAGCGCAGACCAGCGTCGTCTGCTTTTCCTTCCCGTCGTCTGCTTTCCCTGGCAGACGTTGATTTCGCAACGTTTTGCGATTCACGTAGGTACAACAGTCACAATTATATCTTCTTCTTCAACGTTTTCACCACATCAAAGTACCAATAAAAGAAAAAAAAAACTGTCGTCCTATTTATATAGTTTCACCGGATAGTATGCCGAAGACACTCGATAACATCTTCGAGCGAGAGCTTTATGTCACAACAAAGAAGAAAAACAAAAACTTGAGGAGGGGAGACAAGGAAACAAAGAACATACTCCGTATATATAAAATAAGGACATCGAAATGTAAGGTAAGGCTAGGCGAGTTAGAGAAGAAGACATTAGGACACAGTACGCAGTGCACGAACACTCCCAGTTTTCCCCCAAAACATCGGTTGGTTGCTTATATATATATATGTATATATATATATTTACTTTCCGCACGAACGGAACCTTTGCAAATAACGTGGGAAGCCACCGATCACGTGATACCGCGCTTTGGACCAATCACGACGCTGCTCGCCACTTCTCGCGAGAACTCGAAGATTCCGTGCGGCGTAAGCGCGCCAAAACTTAAGAACACTCAGGGGGACTACTAGGAGATCGCAGAGACGGTTTCTCGAGTTGTCCAACTTAAAAAACGACGTTTAGAAATGATGATAAAAAAAAAAGAAAAAGAAGCAATGAGAAAGAAAAAAAATAGTGGGCAAGGACACGTGGGCGTTACGGATACTTATAGATCTTCGTATCTACACTACGGGGTTAAAATATATTTATGTCTTTCTCTCCCGCCCTCTTACACTGTCATATGTCTGTCTAGATATTTATAGAATATGCTCCGCCAACAGCCTGAAACACGATGTCTAAAAACTCGGTCGCGCACGCGATGATAGAGGTGATATAATAATTATATAATAACCGCTGAAAAAAATAAAAAAGAAGACAGAGAACGCACTTCAATGACAACAGTTGGCATGGGCAAATATACAAAACTCGCGCACACGCACGCACGCACACACTCGCGCATTCGCAGCATACACATAGTCGCACGTACACCGTTAGAACATTACGCTTACAAAGATCGAGAGCAAGTGTTTGTGAATGATTTTAGAAATGAATTGCCTGTTCTAGAGCGGCGCGTATTTCTTCTTTTCGCTTCCCCTCCCGCTTTCTTTTTACAAAAGAGACGATGTTGTTTGGTTTGGATGACTCATGCGGTTTGTTGGTTCTCGACGTGAAACATATGAGCACTGTACATGAGACTCTGCCGCGATACGCGGGCTCCGGTTGTGTAAATTTCGGTATTTATGACGTTGTTGTTTGCTTAATTTAAAGGGGAAAATATAAGATTTTTGGGGCTGGTTTGTGGTAGCGGTATGACCATGACAACCAAAATAGACAAAAAAGGATTTTTTTTTTTTTATGTGGTGTGCTTAAAGGTGAAGCGGTCGCTTAAGATGTGTGGTGTGCTTAAGATAAAACGGTCGCGATGATGCAAACGTGGCGCCATCCTTCGGCATATAACTGAACTAGCCGCTAAATAACGTTTCTCATTGTCTAGAGGAGAAAAAAAAAGGGCTTTTCATTTTGTTTTTCTGTCTGATTCTATTTCTAGGCGGCAGCAAAAAGCATCTGTATTTAATTGCTTTGAATTCGCCGCAAATTTGGTTGGATGTATCACGCGTATGTCCTTTTTCAGTAAGTTAATGGTGGATTAGCTCAAGATTCTGCTCTGATTGTCAAAATGTGGCAAGAAATTCAGAGCTTTCGACAATTTCAGGAGTAAACATTATGACTAGACACCTGATGTCATAGGCTAGTAACTGTTCTATCGTTTTGGTTCAATAAATTATTAGAAAAAATCGTGATTTCGCGTTGTTTCTTTTCTATTCTCCAAACTTTCGCATTCTAGCAGCGAACCATTTAAAGTCGGCTTCCACATCGACTGTCTTCAACAGTGTGTTCTTATGATATTTGCAAGCGAATGGCTTTTTGTCTGTTGTATTCCACACAAATCTTACACTGTAGTTGTGTTTCTAAGCGGCAGAGAGAGCCTTGATTATTAATAAGTTAAAACAAATAGGCATGTCAAGAAATCTCTACAATCTCACAGAAAGAGAAAAAAAAAACGTACACTCAGCAGGTGATTTAAAACAGCACTTGAATTTGAACTCGTACAGTTAAACCTACGTTCCAACCAAAAAAAAAAAAAAAAGAATCTAAAGCGACGTAGTAAATAATAATAAAAAAAAAAAACAAAGAATGCAGTATTGTATTCTCGATATTCGCTTCAGATACGTGCATTTAAACGAGGTATAAAGGAGATAGACGCCTTTCATTTCGTGAAATCGTAGTCGTGTTGTCGCTTGCCGATGTGTTGGGAGGGCACGGAGACATTGTTCCCCCATCCAAAAAAAGAAAAAGAAAAAGCAAAGAATTACGGTCGACGGCTGGTTAGCAAGGTAGCAGTGAAAAGCTCACAACACAGACGGACATTGAAGGAGGGGAAAGGGGAAAAGAAATGAGTGGAGGGAATGCGGTATTGCACGTTATTGTATAGCACGGCGCTTTTCCTATTGGCTGCTCTCACCGCGTTGCGTCATGAATACGTCATTTCCGGGAGACGGAGGAGGGGGAGGATCTCCAGCTCCTTACTTTCTTCTTTTTCCACCGTACTTCCGGTTTTCGAAAAAAAAAAAGCACTGTACAGTGAAGATGAATGAAAATGCGTAATGCCAAGAAACGCTAAGCCCACGCGCACTGCGTCTCTCGAAAATCAGGGAAAGTTGAGAAACTTGGTCTCTCACGTTGAATATAAAGAGAAAAAAGTAGAGAAAGGAGATAGAGCCAAGATAAAGTACTGTATCATGCGTAAAAGAAAACATAACTAAACTGAAGCGCAAACTAGAAACTGAAACTGGCGGCAAGATGGGTCCGTTCAGCGCAAAAGAGGAAAGTTAAAATAGTCGAAAAACCTGATTATTAATAGCGTAATTACCTATAAAAATATCGATTATTCTAATTATTTCCATGGTGTTCTTTCCCGCCGCATTTCAAAGTGCTACCCTGACATTTGAGGACATGTCGAACTGAAAATATAATTTTTAAAGCTTACATTAAAAAAAAAAAAAGGTAAAGCCTGAAGAAGAGAAAGCAATATAAAATTCCCAGCATTATTTATTAATGACGTAGGGCCCATGGATATAGATGCAGTTCTTAAGACTATCACATTTCTCCATACTCAAGACAGCAATTAGTCAGTGATTTACGAAAACCCATAATTTCCTAGACCAGAAATAACTAGATAAATTTAGATTCAAAAGAGGGCCACGACCCGTTCGACGTTAAGCCCGCTTTTTGTTTTTGTTTTCACGTTCTGTGGCATCAGAAATACACAGATATAACAGCTGTTGGTTTTAGATTTGAGAAAGTTGGAAATAGGTTCTTTTTTTCGGGTTAAGACGTTGTATTTGAGCTGAATGTCCTGACGAGATCGAGGGCGAAAACAACAACGGTCGAAATCGGGTGACACCTTCCTCGAATCTCGAGAAAGGCGCAGATGAAGTTCCTCCGGCACCAGATTTTCAGGCACTTTTGCGGAGAGCAAGATTCGCCTCAATTCTCGTCAAGTACCGTTCTTAACCCTTAAAGTGTCGGAGCCTATTCGTTTTCAAAACTTATATTTATCTAATCTGTTTTGCTTTCTTTAAACACCCAGTCACGTCTCTGGCGTAATTTATGGAAAAAGCGCATACGGAAGCAGTTTGATATAGTTAAGATGAAAATAACCTTGATGATAATTTGCTTGGTTTGGCAAGACATGTGCCGCGTTTTTTGTTTATAATAATTGTTGTTATTTTTTTCTTCCTTATGAAGCTTTCAATATTCGTGAGCACTTCCCTATTATAATTTTTGTTGGCTGGTAGACATCTTGCCAGGTACAGTTTAAAATCGAACACGCTTTCGCTTAGCGTGAATCTCTTACTTAAACTGTCGAGAGTTACATATGCCCCAGGCTCCGAACTTCTTTCCAACTTTCTGTAAGTCTTTGTGAAACAAGAGAAACAGGGATTATCTTTTGTTTTTACCTCACACAGGAGGAGTTTAAAACAAAAAATCTCTCGCTAGTCTGTTTTGCAGCCTTTCAAATCAGATAGGAAGAGTAGAGACAACTGAAGGGAGAGAGAGCGTGCTTCGAAGTGGGCATGGAGGTTGTCGAGAAGCAGAAGAAACAAAGCGTACTGCGAACAGAAGAAGGAAGAAGAAGACACAACAAGCGCGGTCGAACTCCGGGAGGGTGCGCAGCTCAAGCCCGCCGTCCACCGAGAACGCCACAGAACCCGCAGAGTCCGGCGCCCTCACTCGGACGAGGGCTGCGCGCGCCACAAGTCCAGGGCGCGGCAGCCCGAGGGCGGCGGCGACTTGGGCGACTCGAGCGCCATGTCCTTGGAGTCCGAGTCGACCGAGGGCGCGTTCTGGTTGACCACGCACTTGCGCATGTGCTTCTCCAGGGTGCTGGGCACCGAGAAGGGCATGTCGCAGAAGCGGCAGCGGTACACGTCCTTGCCCACGCGCCCGTGGGTCTTCATGTGGCGCGTCAGCTTGGAGCTCTGCGCGCAGGCGTAGCTGCACAGTTCGCACTTGTAGGGCTTCTCGCCCGTGTGCGAGCGCCGGTGCACCGTCAGGTTGCTGCAGTTCTTGAAGACCTTCCCGCAGTACTCGCACGTGTCGTTGCGCCGGTCCTTGGGCCGACCCAGCGCCGAGCCAATGAGCGCCAGGGCGTTGCTCGGCCCGGGCCGCGGGCTGAGGGCGCCCATCTTGAGGTCCCTGGCCCGGTCCAGGTCCGGCTGCAGGCCCAGGTAGAAGTCCCGGTGCGCCATGGAGGGCAGCCAGAGGCCCGGGAAGACCTCTCGCTCGCCCTGGTCCAGCCGGAGCCGCTTGGCCGAGTCGCCGCCGTCGAAGGCGCCCAGGAGGCTGCCGCCGAAGTCGAGCGGTTCGTGCGGGAGGGTCTTGCCGTCCGGGCCGTTCTCAGCCGTCGAGGCGTCGCTGCTGGGCGCCGCCGAACCGGGCCGCTCCTGCTTGACCCGCAGGCCTCCGCTCTCCTCGAGCGCCTGCCGGTACGCCTCGCTGTACTGCTGGATGTTCGTGAGGCCGATCTTCTCCATCACCTCGCCCAGCAGCGACTTGCGCTCGGCGGGGCCCGCCCGTACCGTCAGGTCCTCGGCCGTGTCGCCGCAGGGTGTCGTGGCGTCCTCGTCGTCCAGGTCCTCGTCCTCCTCCTCGAGGTCCTCTTCCTCTTCATCGTCCAGTTCCTCGTCGTCCTCCTCTTCGTCGCAGGACCCGGCGCCGTCGGACGCGGCGCACTCGTCGTCGCCGTTGGTGCGTGGCCCGTCCTCCGGCGTGGACCGTGACGACTCGACACTCGTGTTGTCCCCGGACGTGGGCGACTTGCGGTGCGTCTTCATGTGCCGCTTCAGCTTGCTCGCCTGCGTGCAGGCGTGGTTGCAGATGTGGCAGCGGTACGGCTTCTCGCCGGTGTGCGACCGCCGATGCACGATCAGGTTGCTCTGGAACCGGAAGGACTTGCCGCAGTACTCGCACGACTTGAGCTGCGGAGACGATGGCCGCGACGACGGCCCGCCCTCGGACGAGGTCGCCCTGGCCGTCGTCGCGGCGGCCGGCGTCGTCGGAGGCGCCGCGCCGGCGAACGCCGGCGGCGTCAGCTTTCGTGGCGACGTGGGCGCGGTGCCGCCTCCGTAGCTGCCCCCCGTGGACGTGGCCGCGGGGGGACTGCTGGCGCCCGCCAGTTGCCGGAGCCGCTGCGAGTAGAAGTCCAGCTGCGGTTCCAGGGAAAGCCCGAAGGGCTGCGGACTCTGTCGCGTCGCCGACGTCTTGAAGCCGTCCACGGACGACGCCGTCGCCGCCGCTGGTTGGGACGACGACGTCGTCAACGTTGCCGACGGGGGCTGGGATACCGTCGCCTGCGTCGCGGGCTGGCCAAGCCGGAGCTGCTCGCTCAGGAGGTCGCCCACTCGGAAGTCGTGACTAGAGGCCCTGCCGAAGAGACCGGGCCCGAACTGGCGCTCGGAGAGCGGCATGCGCAGCAGCTGCAGCGCGTGGTGCGCCGCCGGGTCCACGATGCCCGGGAGGGGCACCGCGGGGTTTGAGGACGTCACCGCTGACGCCGCCGTCGCCGACGCCACCGGCGACTCGCTCGGTATAGGGGTGGACGTCCGGGTGGCGGCGCAGTTCGTGGAGGCCGCCGGGACCGAGGCTGGGTTCGGAGCCGGGACAGTGGACACCACGGGAGCGGCCGCCACCGGCTGGGGCGGCTGGGGCGGCTGGGGCGTCGGCCTTCGGACGGGGGGCAGGGGACCGGCCACGGGGAAGAGGGCCGCCGGCGAGATGTTGGCGTCCGCGTAGATCTTGAGCCCGTGCAGGTTCTGCGCGTGCTGGATCAGGAGCCATGCCGAGCAGAAGCTGTGCTTGCACGTGAAGCAGGTGTAGTTGTTGGGCTCTGCGAGAACGGGACCAAGGGAGGTTGTTACGCTGAGATCAGAAACGACGATCGTGCGAACTAATCTTGAAACCAATACCAGACTTCTGTTCTGTGTTTACTGAGGAAACTTTATGAGAACCTCCGAATCACTTTAATGTGCCGTCTTTTATCGCTCAAGAATCCGCAGAGTGAGGCAACATAAGCTAACTTATCAGCGGAGCACCGGAAGGAACAGTAAAAATTTCGCCTAGAGCTTAATACGCCGGTTCCTTCATATTCTGTTTTTAAAGGAACGACAACCAATATGGACAACGAAGCACTTTTCGCGGGAGAAAACGTTATCTTTCAGATGGCTCGCTTAATTTCACTGCGTTGGAAATATACATATTTTTTGTTATTTTTGTTGTGTTCTTGTGTTTCATTTGTATATATACTGTGAGTTCCTTGTAAGAGCTGCGCCGCTCTGAAACCTGTATGAAGTGCGTGACCTGGGTCAGGTGTTTTAATACACCTTTTGTTCCTGCCACCCCAAAATAAATTGGCAAATACAATACAATACAACACAATTGTGAGCCGCCATTTACTTAAGTAAACAAGCATAATCACGTAGCCGAAGCTTCAAGACATGTCGGTACCTGTAACAGAAACGTTGTGTGGCTTAAGAAAGAAATAAACCGCCGGGAGTGAGGTTGAAACAAATCGCCTTGACATTAGTGTGGCGGTAGTATAGGCACGAAAAAGGCGTCCGTTGCCGACTTGGATATCGCTTTGCCTGTTGGTCAATCGTTTGATTGGTGTCACGTGGCATCCTGAAAACCCGCATGTCATTTGATGCTTCATTTAGCTTTGGCCGCGTGAGCAGCAGCATACCTAACTATGGGGCTTAGCACGCGTGTAACGCTAGGAGTTGACACGTGCGGCTATCCTTTTGCGCCTCCGTGCGCCTCCCGTAAACTGTACGGCGTGATTAGCGCAAACTCCAGATTGACGTCATTTTCAGCCTTTTGGGTATTGCCACACTCGCCCGCTCTGCAAAGAAATGTTAATTTCAGTGCAATGCAGACGACTGCTGCAACCCGTAAACCAACCCGGCCGACCACACAACACTCACGCGCGAATTCCTTAAACTATAGGCGAATGTTGCTCTTTCCAGAACATTCTTTAGATACAATTCGGCGGAGTCATGCGAACGAAATGGCACACCGAAAACCCCAAGCAGAATTACGCGTAACCTACGAAGCCCCCAACACCATCTCCTCCGCCGAATACTTCGCACTTCAAGTCTATATAAGGTTCGCGACCCCTTCTCCCCTTTCCCTCTCCTTCCTTCCGCCGCAGTTCCTTAGCGACATCGATCACTTAATGGTGATAAATTAACTGCGCTCGAACGGCTAATAATTGCTTTCCGATGTCGTCCGCGAATACCGCGTAGTCGTCTCACTCGAGGAGCGGGCGGCGCGTACCATACCAACGAGACAATTAGCGATTACGACAAACCAGTGAACGCGATATATACCCACACGAAGCGGCGGCGGCGGCGGCAGCGACGGTGGCGGCATGCATAGTGAGCGAGCGAGCGAGCCAAGTTGGAGGTCTCCTTTTGGGTAATTAATCCCGCGCAATGAGCGAAGCCGCTGGTCAGGCTTGATGGTCGGATTCCCGGAAAGTGGCTTTAAGGACTTCACCCATTCATCCATCACGGACACGTCGAGATATACGCGATGCCCCCGTGTTTCCCCCTTTCTTGCGAAGGGAGAGGCTGCCGGAACTAAGGCGAGGACGTTCCGGGGTCCTTTTACGTGACGGGACGACTTTAAACGGAGCTGGTTGGCTTTATAAGTGGACCGGCTGCCACGGCTGAGTTCGCTGTTGCTGAGCGTGCCTTCTGGCGGCGAGCTTTCAGAACGCTTCCGTATGCCATAAGCCCAACTAAGATTGTCTTTGCTAGCAGACGATAAGTGAGAGCGCGTTCTGGGTAAGCGCGGTGAACGACGCGCAAATGCAAAGCGTCCAATCGATAGTATTTCTACACGTTTGCGTGCAAGACCATGGGACGAGGTCATCAGGCTACTGGTGTTTGCAGGCTGTAGATTCTCCGATGGTTGTGCCACATTACAGACAACTTTTCTCGTCTTTCTTTTTTTGATGGGCACAGAAATATAAGAAGTAATGATGATGATTATTGCGATGGTGATCACAGTCGAGCCTGCATGGATGGATGGATGCTAAAGGTTGTAGCATTTTTAACGGGTGGTAGCTTGCGCCACCTGGCCTAGAAACTCAAGGCCAAAGGTAGGATCTTCCCCTCGCCGTAGTAAGCCAATTTGTTTCTTTTTTGCAATTTTGTAAATATCACCGGATATCACCAGGATAACCTCTGGGGGATAGGTAAAAAAAAAAAAAAAACTAAAAACATCACCCCCCACCTTTTCCCTCTGGATTCGCCAATTTTCATCTGGTCAAACAGCTGGTCAAACGGCGTTAGTGATGCCGTTTTCCCACAAACGGTGGCCAAACTAGCATGTGAAGCGCTTCCACTTACAAGCTCGTTTACGATGCAAGTCGAGTAGATTAGCAAAACAAAGCAAAAGAGTCCGAAGAGTGAAAGGTAAGCAACAGTGAATGAAATCTTAAAATATCGTAACTGCGTGCATTTAGTCGATTCCAGCCTCCAAACGATCGCGGTGTCGTCACCACGAACGCCCCTAAGCAGGGATGTACTTTGTTTTCAATTACATATTGGGGAATGTGTTTGTCAACTGTATTTAAATACTGAAGTTTAGTATTTCAAATGCATGTATTTCTGAAACAGCCGCATATACAATTTTGGGAACTGAAGGAATTAATGGGATGAGTATAATTACTGCTTGGGTGATTTAAATTGTTCTTTTTTGAAAACACGTCGAATTGACAACATGTTGTTTAAAAAGGCTTTGATGCACCAGCTCCGCCTTCTAAATTTTTCTTACATTGAATACATCGTTGTTCCTTACATTGTGTCCGCCTACGAAGTTATGACATACAGACTTTATATTTAGAGCGGCAACGTTATTTATAAGCACTTGATTCTTAGCATATATAAGCTCCGCTCTTTATACGGTATGGTATCTTTACCTGGGTTAAATTTAGGTCTAAAATGTCAACCTTTGAGAACAAAATGTATTTGAGAAAGTATATGAAACTGCTCAAACGCGCTCACTGTTTATCTTGTATTTAAATACTTTTCTTAAAAGTGCATTTGAATTTGTGATTAAATGCATTTCGTCGAAGTATTTTGTTTTTAGATTTAAATACACTTTCAGGAGTATTTTGCCCATCCGCAACGTACCGATTTGCGCCGTCTAATGAATATAAAAACACGTTCCTGATCATTTTTTTAAAATGACACATATTATTGCGCAGAGCGTCTCAGATATGCCTATCACTGCCCCGTGAAGAACTGGAGAAACACTGGCGAGTCTTAGAATAACGTACACCAAAGATTCCGAAACGCAAGTTCGTTCACTTTTTGCACAGGGGTTGCAAAGATGTCAGAACGCAAAACTCTCCTTGGCCGATCAAAAAAAAAAAAGAATGTGGGTAGACGTTGAGGCATCTAGCATCGAGGTCTACCCACTATTCTTTCCATCATCCAATCAGAGCTCAGCGTCGTTCTGACGTCATCACAACTCCCGCACAGAGAAGCGGACCACTTTCTCTCCGCATAGCGTCGCCGCCGTCGTCGCCGTCCCCACGAGGAAGTCCGAACCCCTGTTTGGGCTCTGCGCGCGCACACTGGCGACGGCGCTATTTCTTAGCGTACGCTATCTCTAAAGCTCCGTTCTAATACCGTATCCGGAAACGGATGACGCAATCTGGGATGGAAAATAGCTGGTTCAGACTCGCGTCGTTCGTAGAGTCATTAGAGAGTTTTAATAGATCGTTCCGATACCTCCGATGGCCCCGATAACGATACTATGCAAGCGCAAGGGAGGCGGTGGCGGAGTATCGGGTATCGTTATCGGAGTCATGGGAACGATCTTCTAAAACTCTCTTATTGGGTCAATGCCGGCGAGAGTGGCGACGGTCCGGTTCGGGAAAAAAACAAAACAAAAAAACTAGCGAGAGGGATCATGCCGAAGTGGCCGAAGCTCATCGCTGCTGTTAGGCGGGCAAAGTGATTTTTGAAGGAGCCAGCTGGCGGAAGAGAGTTTTTAATAGAACGGGTGTCGTTCTCCCTCCCGCTTGTTCGTTGTCGACTTAATTCGTCGAGACTGCGCCCAACCAACATGGAATGAAAGTCTATACAGTCTCTGCATACACGCGTTTTTCTTCCTCGTATACGACGGTCCTCTCTCATTGGTCGTGCAGAAACGGTCTGCATACATGTTTCAAGCGCACGCATGTGTGAAGCAAACGCGCTTCATTCGAAGATGCTTCAGGTATATTCGCACATAACTCTTGTCATCGTGTCGGCGGGGGACACCCTGTCTTTTGTACAGGATGCACGACGAGCAGTGTGTGACGGCGGATATCTGAGTGACTCGACCCTACTAAATCTACAAAGACGAAACAAAAAAGACAAAAAAAAACACCACCCGCGGACACGTGAAATACATCTCGTCGTTAGTTGTTTCTGCGTTTGGGCGTCGGCCAAAAACTCGCCCGACAAAACGATATTTGTGCGGAGAACTATTGGCGTATTCGGGATGAACGTCTGTAAGCGCGGCCGCGTGAACAATCGCTGTCCGCTTACGTGTGTTCTTTCCATAACGGGCGTAGTCATACCGTTCTATAGTCTCCAGGAGTTGGTAAGCCGGTCTATACTCGTATCCACCCCAAAAAACTGTAGCAAAGGAAGAAAAAAAAAAAGTTATGCTTTTTGCGGATTGCTGTAAAGTTATTTCTTTCTGTGCTAAGATACATGTAGGTGCATATTAGATTAACCTATGTTATTTTGATTAAGACGTTCACTTTTACGAAGTCCAGATCATCGCTTCTTTCATTCACAACCAAATCCTGCGTCAACTACTTCGCAC